TCACCTGTCTCATTTTTCCCATTTTTCCCTCCCCAGGATGCCCTCGGGGGCCGTTTTGACGCCACCCAGGCGTTTGTGGGCGAATTGGCCGAGTTCCACCTGTGGAGCCGCGCCCTGGCCCCGCCCGAGGTGGCGGCGCTGGCTCGGTGTCGCTCACCTGAGCGCGGGGACCTCCTGTCCTGGGCCCAGGCGGGGCTGGAGCTGCACGGGGGCGTCACCACCCTGCCCTTCCAGCCCTGTGCCTGACACCCCAAAATCACCTGAGAGCACCTGGAAACACCTGGATCATCCTCAAAATCACCTGGATTATCACAAAAATCATCCCAAAATCACCTGAGAGCACCTGGGAACACCTGGATCATCCCAAAATCATCCCAGAATCACCTGGAAATCACCCGAATCATCCCAAAAATCATCTGGGAATCACCTGGGAACAGCTGGACACACCTGGATGATCCCAGAATCACCTGAGCGCGGGGACCTCCTGTCCTGGGCCCAGGCGGGGCTGGAGCTGCACGGGGGCGTCACCACCCTGCCCTTCCAGCCCTGTGCGTGATGGGACCTGGGGACACCTGGGGACACCCCAAAAATCACCTGAGAGCACCTGGAGAACACCTGGATCATCCCAAAATCACCTGAGAGAACCCAGGGACAGCTGATTCATCCCAGAAACCATCCCAAAATCACCTGGAAATCACCTGGATCATCACAAAAACCACCTGGAGAGAACCTGGGGACACCTGGACACACCTGGACACAGCTGGATGATCCCAGAATCCCCTGAGCGCGGGGACCTCCTGTCCTGGGCCCAGGCGGGGCTGGAGCTGCACGGGGGCGTCACCACCCTGCCCTTCCAGCCCTGTGCATGATGGGACCTGGAGAGCACCTGGGGACACCCCAAAAACCATCCCAAAATCACCTGGAGACACCTGGAACACCTGGAGAACACCTGGAAATCACCTGGATCATCCCAAAAATCATCTGGGAACACCTGGGAACACCTGGGGACACCTGGAGACACCCCAAAAACCATCCCAAAATCACCTGAGAGCACCTGGGAACACCTGGATCATCCTCAAAATCACCTGGATTATCACAAAAATCATCCCAAAATCACCTGGATTCTCCCAAAAACCAGCTGGGAACCCCCAAAAATCACCTGGAGACCTCAAAATCACCTGAGACACCTGAGAACACCTGGAGAGCACCTGGGAGCACCTGGAGAGAACCTGGATGATCCCAAAAATCACCTGGGAACACCTGGGAACACTTGGAGAGCACCTGGGGACGGCCGATTCATCCCAAAAACCATCCCAAAATCACCTGGATCCTCCCAAAAATCATCTGGGGACACCTGGAGAGCACCTGGGAGCACCTGGAAACACCTGGAGAACACCCGGATGATCCCAAAATCACCTGGAAACACCTGAATCACCACAAAAATCACCTGGGAACACCTGGACACACCTGGATCATCCCAAAATCACCTGAGAGCACCCAGGGATAGCTGAGTCATCCCAAAAAACATCCCAAAATCACCTGGAAATC